AGGTCATGATCCTGGAGTCCCGGGATCGAGTCCCGCATCAGGCTCCCAGCTCCACGGGGAGTCTGCTTCTCCCTCTGACCTTCTCCTCGCTCATGCTCTCTCTCACTGTCTCTCTCTTCTCTCAAATAAATAAATAAAATGTTTAAAAAAAATAAATTAATTAATTAAAACAAATGTTTGTAAGCTTCACTTTGTCACCAGGATGACAGAAATATGTAAAAGATGGGCACCTGGGTGGCTCAGTGGGTTAGGCCTCTGCCTTCAGCTCAGGTCATGATCTTGGGAGTCCCTGGATCGAGTCCCGCATCGGGCTCCCAGCTCCACGGGGAGTCTGCTTCTCCCTCTGACCTTCTCCTCGCTCATGCTCTCTCTCACTGTCTCTCTCTTCTCTCAAATAAATAAATAAAATGTTAAAAAAAAAAAAAGAACTAAGGGTATTTTAATAATGAAAGAAGAAAGTCATTTACTCCTCATAGTCCTTTGAATAAAAGTGATACTAAAAACAAAACATTGTTTAGGGATATTTTATATAGAGAGGCAGACGAGGGAACAAAAATATGAATATAAAACCACAGTTGCCTCTGGAGAGAAGGCTGAGGGTGGACAGGAAAAAGCCCATAGGTAGATACAAGTTATTGAGAATGTTCTAGATTGGGGGTTGGGTAGCGAATTCTTAGGCATTAATTATTCTTAAACCTGTAAATGAGTAAATTTAAAATAAACAGGGTCATGCATGGTTAAGTACTGATATCATGAATCAAGGATTATGATTAATCCAAATATGTGTACCTGCATTTCTTAAAAGGAATTTGAAGATGATAATAGTGAACATGTTGAATACTTTTTAAAAATATTTTATTTATTAATTTGATAGCACAAGCAGGGGGAACAGCAGGCAGAGGGAGAGGGAGAAGCAGGCTCCCCGCTGAGCGAGGAGCCCAATGCAGGACTCAATCCCAGGACTCTGGGATTGTGACCTGCGCTGAAGGCAGATGCTTAACTGCATGTTGAATACTTTCAGTGTGCTATATTCTAGGTGTTTTATACTTACCAATTTATTTAGTTCTCTTAATAGCTCTTGAAATAGGTGTTACCCTTATTCTATAGATGAGACAGAGGCACACAGAGGTTGAGTAACAATTCATCAGGATTCAGAACTAGGCAGGGGCTTCAGCATCTGTATGTTAATCACGGTGTTAAACTGTCTCAGGTGGTCATGGAGGGTGTTGTGTTGTTCCATAGGTTAAAATCTCGGCCAAAGGCCCAGAGCTATTGATGGAGCTGGAATTCGGGGGAAAGGAAAGAGAGCTCCCTAGAATATGAGAAAGAAACAACAGATGAATAAAGGGTGTACTTGGGAAAAGACTACAGGTGGGGGCCCTTCAAGGTTCGGGTTTCTGTAGGGAATGTGGTGGCCGTCTTCTAGACCAGTGAATGAAAAAGATGTAGGAAAAGTTCTAAGAGTTGACACTTTTTAAAATGCTTGTGCACTTTATATATGTAATGTTTAATCCTTACAAGATCCCTTAGAAGTTTGGTATTCTTTCCATTTTATAGTTGAGAAACTTAGGCTCCCTGGTGGTTATGAGTGGACAGTAAGGCTGGAAACCACTGAAAGAGAAGGAATTTCCCCCTTTTTTGGAAGGCAGTGGGGAGTCATTGAAAGGTTTCAAAGTTGGGAAAATGCCCAGAGCTCTTCTTTGGAACTTGCTGTACTGACGGGAGAAAAGATGTCTGTGGTTTTTCTCTTACAGGAAGTCCCAGACTGCTGCTGTCTTCCATGGCAGGAAGGGTGGTACGAGGGGGCAAGCCACTCTCTGTGTCTGTGGGCGCTGCTAGACTGGAATCAGTTCCATGGTCATTCCTTCTCTCTTCTAGGTTTCTCTCCTCAGGACTTTGTCCTTGCAGAAGAGAGGAACACCAAAGAACACCAAAAGGACACAGAGATGTCTGACAGTCTCTCATCCGCTGGATCCCAGGTGAGTGAAACTTTCTTCTGATGTGGTTCTCTGATATGGGGATCTCACCTTCCTGATTTCTAGACCTTCCCTATACAATTAAATCACATTCTCATTTCCTTTAAATCTTTATATA